ATGCCAGGAGCCCCTAGTAGCGTCCTTGCTCCTAGTAGCGATGCCAGGAGCCCCTAGTAGCGTCCTCACTTTTTATTTTCCTCATCATTCCTGAATGGGCCTCTCTGTGCCTTTCTCAGGACAAACTTGTCCTTCACGGACGAAGATCTAGATGGCGGTGAAGTCTCGAACTCACTTACCTGGACGCAGCCAGAGGCCAGGTGCTTTCTGAGCGCAGATCTCTTACCATCTTATTCGATAGACCCGAACTGAGATATCGCTATCAGAGAATTGTGTTTCGATCCCCTGTCACGCTTCCTGTTCAGGTGCCAGATGTTTTGGTGGACTTCCGCGTGTTCCTCGCTTTGTCAGATGCATCTGCGATGACGGAACTAGGTGCTGCACCTGCGGAAAGCAGCATTTTCTTCGTGAACGAAGGCTTGGCACATGAGGATTTTTGGAGACTTGTCTCGAGAAGATGTTTGCAAGACACTTCTCATCACATCATGCGTGGCAGGCACTCCGATTGAAAACTACACGCAGATCTTGGTTCCATTCTGAGTTGGGTAGACAGCCCTTGAAGCAGCATTTCTTGATCCGGCTGGTTGGGGATTTGGTTGGTATATTGACTTTCACATGAAACTGGATTTGGGTCAAGCTTGAAGTCCCGAGTTTGAGGTGTACTCGAGATCATCAGCAATGACACAAAGTACACCTTCGGCAGTGAACGTCACGGATCTGGATGAAAGCGTCGCATGCTTTGATATGCCAAGGCTTCAAATCTTGAATGGCCCAGCGCTTGAAGCATTTCTCAGGTCTCAAATGTTCGCTTTGAAGACTACGACTTGGATGCTTTAGACCTCGGTGGTGGAGTTTGGGCCAAAGATTTGGACCAAAGATAGCTTTAACTCAAAATTCAGCTCAAGATTTCGTTTCAGCTCAAGCTTCTTTTTGTATCGATGTTCAAGGTCAACTGGACACCTCCAGAACCTTTGGAGGGTACCAAGTACTACTCCATACAGCTGGTTTGGGTGCGCTCCTTCGCAGAACCAGCAGACGGACGTGCGTTCTATCTATATAGGAGCTACTAAGCTACCACTGGAGTTCTACCTTTAGCCTTGCCTGCGAACCCAGACACAACAGATCGGAAAAGCAACTTTCATTTTCATTTTGATTCGCCAGGATCAGACATTTGATTATCGCAGTGTCATTTCTGAAGTGAGTGTCGGGGAGCGGCACTACGAAATTCCTGTAGAGACTCGGTAGCATTTGGGGAAGGGAAGTCCGGGAAGCTTGAAGAACAGTTGACTCAGATTGGCACTTCGCTAATCTCTCAACTTCGATTTTGATCTCAACACTGAATGCACCACCGCGCTGCTTCGGGCACTAACTCGGAGTGCACATTTTGACTAGCCAATCTTTTGATCATGAATCATGAGTTGAACTTTAGGCATAGACAAACCCCTCCATCGCTCACTTCCCGGCTGGAGGGTGACTCACCAAACCCAACGCGCCTGAGAGGATACGTACCTCGGGACTTTCCCCTACATGTACGTTTACACCAAGTGACTCGGCTTGACTGGATCACACTTGTTTGGACGTCTGAATTTTTGGGAAGCTCTTGAAAAACTAGGGTAGTAGACCCTTCCACAATTGCCGCGAGGTCCAGTCTGTTGGAGCAGACAACACCTGTGGGCATCCTGATCAGTGACACTGCACCTGAGATCACAAATATCCAGTTCTCAGACCAGGACGGAATGCTTCTGTTGATAGGTGTTGGTCGTCAGTATTCTTACTGAGGTATAGAAAAGAGGTTCCTGCGCTATCTAGGTTTGGTGTTGATTGCGCTTCATCAGAATGTTCTTAAGCTTAATACATTTGATGGAAGCAGTGTAAGCTCGTCATTGCACAACACAGCGCGTGTGGGATGGCAGGACTTGGACCAATATGAAATCGGCGGGAACCTCACCTGGACCGAGCCTCTAAGCCGCAATGGAGAAACGAGTCAACAGGGGTGGTGTGGGTGGCCCTGCTTAATTTCGCTGTTGGGTGGAGGCCATCGCTAGTAGGTTGGAGGCCATCGCTAGCAGGTTGGAGGGCATCGACATTAAGTTGGAGGCCATCGCTCTTAGGTTGGAGGCCATCGCTATTAGGTTGGAGGCCATCGCTATTAGGTTGGAGGCCATCGCTATTAGGTTGGAGGCCATCGCTACTAGCTTGGAGGCCATCGCTCTCAGGTTGGAGGCCATCGCTATCAGGTTGGAGGCCATTGCGATTAGGTTGGAGGCCATTGCTATTAGGTCGGAGGCCATTGCTATTAGGTTGGAGGCCATGGCTATTAGGTTAGAGTATCGATATTTGGTTGGAGGCCATCGCTATGGAGGCCATCGCTATTAGGTTGGAGGGCATCCATATTGGGTTGGAGGCCATTGCTCTTAGTAGGTTGGAGGCCATCGCTATTGGGTTGGAGGCCATCGCTAGTAGGTTGGAGGCCATCGCTATTGGGTTGGAGGCCATCGCTATTAGGTTGGAGGCCATTGCTCTTACTGAATAGAGAACATCAATATCAGGTTTGAGGCCATTGCTCTTAGGTTGGAGGCCATCGCTATTTTGTTGGAGGCCATCGCCATCGCTATTGGGTTGGAGGTCATTGCTCTTAGGTTGGAGGCCATTGCTCTTAGGTTGGAGGGCATCGCTATTAGGTTGGAGGCCATCGCTATTAGGTTGGAGGCCATTGCTCTTAGGTTGGAGGCCATCGCTATTAGGTGGGAGGCCATTGCTCTCAGGTTGGAGGCCCATCGCTGTAAGGTTGGAGGCCATCGCTACTAGGTTGGACGCCATTGGTCTTAGGTTGGAGGCCATCGCGATTAGGTTGGAGGCCATCGCTATTAGGTTGGAGGCCATCGGTATTGGGTTGGAGGCCATCGCTATTAGGTT